GGGGGTCGTATACAACTTTGAGAGGAATATTTCGCATCGTTGACTTCCCATACTTTCCCGTTTCAAGTGCGCTATGTTTTCTTTGGGGAAAGATTGGCAACTTTCTCGGAAAAGTGATAGGAAGTTGCGGAGAATTTAAAGGCAGCGTCCGCGATCAACCAAAGTGAAAAAACTCCATTATACCTCCGTAAACTCTGGTATAAATACCATTTTGAACTATTGTTCAAGCTAACAGGTGTGAAGGTTTATTGTGTAGCCGTGTTGAGCGGTTATAACTGATAGATACTGACATGCGTATGTACTAACGTGATATTATAACGCGAGATTAACATGTGATATTATCGTAACATTCGTGAATACGTGCAGTAAGGGTTATGTGGTGATAATAGATAATTGTGCGTATATTGGCTATAGCATACTGACGAGTATATGTGATTTACATATTAGTTAACAAGTAATGAGCAGTTAACAATGCGAGTAATATGATTCAATGAGCATAACTGGCATACATAGGTGAGATGCGGAATGCTTTTCTGCGCGAGACCGTGTGACAGCATATGAATCGTGTGATATGTGCTACTGAGACCACAGTAAATGAGCAATGATGAGAAGATTGATTATTATATACATACATGTGAACCAGAACGAGTCAAAACGAGGGGGAAGTAGAGATGGGGAGAGGTGTCGGTGCCACATAATTTTGAAACCCTCCCAATGATCTCCAGCGCCCAGCCTGCATGACATGAACTTGGTGAGCTCCCATACTGAGCGCTTGTGTGGCTGCCCCCCCCTCTGAAAGAGTGTGACGTTATATTAGCATAACTGAGGTTTGCTTTTTTGAGGAGGTGCGTAAGCCTGTCCCGCAAGGTAGATATTGCCAAGGGTGACCCCGTGGAGCCCGACTGGAACAGGAATGACGCACTGCCTAGGGAAGCTGTGTACTTACTCCATAGGGCTTGCTCCCTTGCGCTGAAACGAAATGCGACTACTGCGCCTTTAGAGCACTGGTCCGTCTTGGACCTATTGATACGCACCTGCCACTCCCCCTTTCCCACGTGCTTAACCTCTGACCTGCGCAAGTTCTGTGCCTCGCTGATCCTAAGAAGCCCCTTGAACTGAATAAGGGCCAACGCTGCCGCTTGTATGACTTTGGGATCGCTATCTAAGAGCCCCACATTTATTATCTTTGCCATGTGGATAGGCTGGATCTTAGTGCGGTGTTGGGGCGGGGGTTGCGTGCGCTTGACCGCCTCTAGCAGAGAACCTTGAATCTCTTTGTCTACGCCTTGTAGCGGCCCGCAGAAGTAGTTCAATGCTGCTACTACTGTTGGCATCGAGCTATGTCTCCCTTCCGCCGAGCATTTGGCTAGATAAAGGTTCCTAGCTTGCGGTAAGGGAATTCTGCGCATGTGAGGACTGCTCTTCCATGCCTTGAATCTCTGCACTTCTGCTGTGTAGACCTTGATTGTTGATGGCGCTCTATCAGCATTGATTGCATTAATAATGGCTTGACTGACATGGGGCAGTCCGATCTGTTCCGCCTTGACCCCCAAGAAGGCTGCTTCCTTGAACCGCTGAGCTGCAACAAAATAAGCAAGTCTTAGGATTACAGGGTGGGCGGGTGGGCACCGCTCACGGTCTTCACAATAGCCTGGAATGGCTCCTCATCCTTGCTGCCAGGGATCACATGTCTTGTGTATCAAAGACCACGCTTACGAAATAGCGTGGTCCGTTGGTTGTTGTGAACATCATGTGATCCCTGGTACCCTATACAGTAACGATTTCGCAATAGTTCAAAATACCACTTATACCTCCGTAAACTCTGGTATAAATACCATTTTGAACTATTGTTCAAACCAACCAACAGGTGTGGAATCGCAAAGCCGGGGGACAAGTTCACGTGGCTGAACTGCGTACCTGTTGTCCGAAGTCAATCAATAAAAAAACGAAGGGCGACAGAGAGAATTCTGACCCGAACGCCCCCGGCGCTTGCGGATCTTTGAACAATTTCGTACCCACTGGAAAAATTACGCTGTCCACAACGAAGTCCGCCCATTGCGACTGGCCTGTCCTAATCGTTGGGTAATATGGCTGCGATTCCCACAGAGGACAACCAAGGATACCTCTTGATCCATATATTTTTGCCCATTTAATTGTTTTTGTAATCATATTGATCGGTGGAACTAACCATAAAAGTCCGTCTCTCCATGCGTTGACTTGTTCAAACGCGTCTGTTCCTGAGGATCCAGGGCACTGATATCTGGAAAAAAATTTTTCGCAGCGTGCATTTCTGTCGTTAGCAAACATGTCACATCGGGGTTCTCCCCATTTGCGGGAAATTGCTCTGAATATATGATCTGCTATTCTCCAGTCATCGTAATCAATCTGTCGACTAGCCCAATCTGCCGTATGATTACGTGCCCTAGGAATCCACCTTACTAACGTGAGTATATTGCAGTTTCTTTCTAACTCCCAGATATTCGCAGCCAGTCGGTGAAGGTCTAAACCTAAACTTCCCTTGTTATAAATAGCTACGGCACTTTGGCTATCCGTGTGAACCAAAACCTGATTTATAGAGTTTTTGTACGTATCTAATGCAAAATGTATTGCAAAAAGTTCCCTAGCCGTGCTGGATTCTCCTATGAGCTTTGGTGGCAGCTCTCTGAACGTATGGGACATCGCATATCCCCTGCTATCTCGAAGTACAGCTCCAACAGAGTGCTCTGATGCATCTACATCTATTATGTGTGAAAAGGCCCTGTCCTCCACCCCAGGTCTGAGGGATAACTGGGGGCTATTTTGCAATTCATGTGCCCAGTAGTGTAGCTCGAGGCGTTCCTCATTGGTTTTGAACCACTTCTTGGACAGCGGCCATCCCTGCGATTGAGCTGCCGCTATTTCACGACATACGGCCCTAGTGTTGCGTTTGTCCCTCATTTTCAAGACCACATGCAAGGAAGACAGCGTTCCGGCCCAACGTAATCTATCATGTAATGATGGACTCGGTAATCCGCTTATGATTTCTAGTCTATGTCTAGCCTTGGATAGTCTCTCAGGAGCTACAGAAATGAACATAGAAGACAAGTTAATATGAAAACCTAACCATTCACAGGTTTGGGAAGGGTTCCAGTGGCACTTGTCCTCAGCAAAGTACCATCCTGCACGCTTGAGATCGTCCCTGATAATGGAAACTGTTTCTGCACATGCCTCTCTAGACCTTTCGAAAACATTGCCGTCATCGATGTAAATAGCAATTCCTCTTCCCTGAGCTCTCCACAGTTTGATGAAAGTGCGAAGCAATTTCGTAAAGATATGGGGTGCGGAAGACAATCCAAAAGGCAAGCATAAAAATTTGTAATTTCTGCCATCCCATCTGAATCCCAAGAAGTTGGTATGACTTTCCTCAATTCGCACATGGTGATATCCCGCTTTGAGATCAAAAGTAGCCATGAACCCTCCCTCAGGCAAAACATCGATAACGCTACTCATGTCATCGAACTTCACTCTAGGTACATGTAGGAACTTATTTAAGTGAGATAAGTCCAAAACCAATCTGAGTTTTTTACCTTTGGCCACAGATAAAGGATGAATATGCAGAATATCGTGTGGATCGCTGTCGACTTCGCGTATTACTCCAGTCGAGAGGAGCTCTGCAATTTCTCTGGTTACGAAATCTTTGTGCATGAGAGCCGACTTTCTGTTGCCCGAATTCCACTGGCTTGGACGGGACTGAACAAAAAGGGCAACGAGTACCCGTTAAGCACAGTGGTCGAGACCAGCTTAGACGGCTCGAGAGCCAACCATTCCAGATAGAAATTATGAATAGAACCTGGTAAAAACTCACTATTGGTTATCTGGACATTCCTTGACCCAGTGGCCCTCTCTTCCACAGCGATTACATGTCGATCTCCTTCTGTTTTCCTCTTCTTTGGAGAAGTAACGGAAGCCCTCTAGTAAAACGCGTGGACGGTACGTCACGCCTTGAATAATAGGGCTTGCGATCCGACGAGGATTTGTCCCAGCTGGGCGTAAAGTTGTTCGGTGGGCGAGAAACGAAGGAAACAGGGCGCCACGCTGTTTCCCTCCCACGAAAGGGAGTGGGAGAAGATTTCCGTTTCCTACTTTCCTGCTCCTTCTTCCTCACCGAATCCATGAATTCGCTAAGCCTGGGGTCCATTGACTTAAGCGAGTCAGATTTCGTCTTACTGTCCAGGAACTGAAACACCTGTGGATGGGAATCCGCGATTTTCAGAGTTTCATTCCTGACAGTGAGGTCCTGTATTACCTCAGTTATAATCGCATTACTCTCAGTGGACTTCGGTAACGATGCTAACTTCCTGATAATGGCACTGTTAAAATCAAACTGACGTCCGAATCCCTCTCGCTTGAATGAATGCGTTGTAGTAGGCGCTTGAGAAGTAGACGGCGTATCAGCTTTAACCGCTTCAATAATAGATTGAATATCTCGTGGGTCTAGACGAATTAACGGTTTCTAGCAACTCCTCCTCGAAGACTTGTTCTTGTGGCTGTTGGTTCGGAGGCGGCTGCTCCATTAGTTCGTGTAGAGGAATATCAGCGTCGTCCGGCATATCTGGCGCGATGAATATCTGTCGAAAACCAGAGGGCGAAAGACCAACCGCTCACGGTCTTCACAATAGCCTGGAATGGCTCCTCATCCTTGCTACCAGGGATCACATGTCTTGTGGATCAAAGACCACGCTTACGAAATAGCGTGGTCCGTTGTTGTTGTGAACATCATGTGATCCCTGGTACCCTATACAGTAACGATTTCGCAATAGTTCAAAATACCACATTGAAAACGAACGCGGAGTCCGCAATCACAGCAGAAATCCCACTCTTGCGGCTCGAAATCGATTGGTTGACGAGGGCGGAGTCAACAGAGCCGGGCTGACGCCTCCTGTCCTGTTAATCCCGCCCCGACTGGTTGACAGTTATCATGCTTGCTGGCATTGATATACGCTGAATTTCTAGAGTTCCGAGGCGGCGACGTGTATTGGAGAACTCACCAGAAGTTTGCGAAACTCGTCCACATGCCTTAAATTTCATAGGGTCTTATTTCACGCTCTTCCACACCTTTTTCCTGCTTTTTTTGATTAGTGCTTCATTGGCCACCTGTTCTAGCAAATGTGACCCCTGAAACCTGCCAAAGTCCATCGCGGGCGCTGTCTTTAAAGACAGCCATTGCGCGCAAATAACTTCTGGTCGTCCTCCTTGTGCAAATAGTACAGCCCCAAGCTAAGAGACTGTCCCACTCTGGCGACTACATCGCGCGAGGAGCGAGCTACAGCTGCTGAAAGTTCTAGTTCTAACGCCCGCTCAGTTGGACCGCCCACTTGCTAGATGCCCTCTGACGGAGGGCCGCTCAGTTGTTCTTTGTTGGGGCGGCGGGCATTAATCGGAATTGCATGTCTTTCATTGTCATGTCTTTGTTTGTCTTTCATTGTCATGTCTTTGTGCAATAGCCCGACGCACTAGCAGATGCCGCTACCGCAACCCCTAAACCCATACGCCGAGTTTTTGAAAGTTTCTTTCTCCCAATAGTTTTACGTCGGTGTTTTTGGTGTTTTTCGTATTCTCTTCTTTGGATGAAGTCTACTACTGGGAGATGCGAAAAAGGGATATGTGAGCCAGGGATGCACAGAGACCGCAGGGCGGTGTGACTGCCAGGGAGCGATTTTGTTTATGGTGTTCTTGAGGACTCTTCTTGCTTTTTTCTTCTTTGGGGATTACTTATCAGCTACTGTTTCATAATTGAACAGCAACTATTAATGACACTTTATTGTGGGGAAACTGTCGTTAAGAAGGTGAGGAAACCACATCTCTTCTGAATCCTCTGAGGAGCGTTGGAACACACTATTTTAAATCCAGTAAAAGAAGGAGAATTCTCATGAAATTTTCGGAAAA